CTTTGTCTTTCCTGATTCCAGGACAAACGAGGTTGAATAGAAGGGAACAGGCTAGTCAGCGCTGTGTGTGCCAAACACGTGCTGGATGAAGGGTGAGTCCGCCCTTGTCAGGAATAACCTAGATCAAGTTTTTATCTCACAACGTGAAGATTTTATTTCACAATATTTCAAATATTGTCAGGCAAAGGCTCTACCACTGAGATAGGACCGAAAGCCCTACCTGCTCCAGATCTAAAAACCCAAGGGTTGGGCCCGGGAGATAGCACAGTAGTTAAGAGCAAACTGTGCACTGGTCGTGGTGATGCACAGCTTTAAGCCGAGCACGCAGAAGGCAGAGGCAGGGAGATCTGCGAGTTGTAGGACAGCCTGGTCTACATAGCAAGTTTTAGGCTAGCCGGGGATACACAGTGTGACCATGTCTCAAAAACAACAAAACAAACAAAAAAAAGAAAACATGAGAACCTGAGTTCAGTTCCCCAGCACCCACATCCAGTGGCTCACCTGTAACTTCACCTCCCCGAGGGTGATAACGCCCTCTAATGGCTTCTGTAGGTACTACAGTCACATGTCATATTCACACAGTCACATAAATAAAAATGAATCTTTAAAAATAATAACTTAAAATCCTTTAATCCCAGCCCTCCGGAGGCAGAGGCAGGCAGATCTCTGTGAGTTCAAAGCCAGCCTGGTCTACAAAGTGAGTTCCAGGAAAGGTGCAAAACTACACAGGGAAACCCTGTCTCAAAAGAAAAGAAAAACAAAAACAAAAAACAACAACAACTTAAAATCCAAGGGCTAAGAAAGTAGCTCAGTGGTTGTCTTAGGGTTCTATTGTTGTGATAGAACATCTTGGACAAAAGCATCGTAAGGTTTATTTCCACTTCCACTTTCACATTACAGTGCACAACAAAGAAAGTCAGGACAGGAATTCAAGGCAGGAACCTGGAGGCAGGAGCTGATGCAAAGGCCACGGAGAGATGCTGCTCACTGGCTTGCTCTTTGTGGCTTGCTAACCCAGCCTTCTTTCTCTTTTTAGATTTATTTTATGTGTGTGTTTTGCCTGTGTGTATATATGTATGTATGTATGCATGCATGCATGCATGTATGTATGTATGTATGTATGTGCACCATGTTCATGTCTATGGACAACTGTAAGCCAAGGGTGCTGAGAACTGAACCCTGATGCTCTGAACAGCAAGAGTTCCCAACCATGAAGCCATCTCTCCAGCCATCCCCACCCAAGCCTGACTCCCCCCCACCACCACCACCCAGGATCACTAACCCAGGGATGACAGCATCCACAGTGAGCTGGGCATTCCCACACCAATCATCAATCAAGAAAATGCTGCAGCCTTGTTCACAGGTCCAATCTGATGGAGACATTTTCTCCCTCTTCAAAAGTGTCTCTAAGCCAGGTGGTGGTGGCGGCGGCGGTGGCGGCGCACGCCTGAAATCCCAGCACTTGGGAGGCAGAGGCAGGCAGATCTCTGTGAGTTCGAGGCCAGCCTGGGCTACCAAGTGAGTTCCAGGACAGGCTCCAAAGCTACAGAGAAACCCTGTCTTGGAAAAAAAAAAAAAGTGTCTCTAGTTTGTGTCAAATAGCTAATATGAAACTGGCTAATGGTGACAGACAGTTTGCCTGGCACAGGTGAAGCCCTGCACTGGATCCCATAAAAATCCAAGAAAAACCCAGCACTCAGGAGGCAGAGGCAGGCAGATCTCTGAGTTCGAGGCCAGCCTGGTCTACAGAGGGAGTTCCAGGACAGCCAAGGCTACACAGAGAAACCCTGTCTCAGCCCCACATCCTCCACCCCACCCCCAAAAAAAATCCAAGGAAAAGACTCTGATTGGCTGAGGCCTAGGTCAGATCATATGCTCTCTTCTTGGGTCTGGAGGCTGTGGCCAGAAGATGGTGGAGAAAACGCCAGGGACCGTGGGTGATACTTGGCTCCAGGTGTCACCGTACAGGACCAACAACGTCCTCTAAGCGTTTTTTCTTCATAGTCAAAAACCGTTTCCAGAGGGGTGTATGTCAAAGACATTTTTCTTCATGTCCTCACCCCTGCTGGGAGGCACCCCACCTTCACTGTTCCGGTGGGTGGTCACCCTTCAGAAACCCTGACTAAGCAGCCAGACCACCTTTCCCAGCCCCCTCTGGGGCTGGCCGGCAGCTTTTGATGTAAGTTGTTTAGGGAATGAGAAGGGGGCAGAAAATTCCAGGCTGCTAAGGGGCCAGCCAGGGAGTTGAGGAATGCTGTATGCAGACTTGACAGGGATGCTTGCTTACAATGCTATCCTTCGTGGTGACTCATTCATTGATTCATTCATTGATTCATTGATTGATTGATTCATTCATTCCTTAGACTTATTCATTGGAACCAGACTGATTATGGCCAGGGATAGTAGCAATAGCTGTAATCCAAACCCTTGAGAAGCATAGACAGGAGGATCATGAGTTCAAGAGCAGCCTGGGAAATAGGATAAGATCCTGTTTTAAAGATCCATATCGCCCGGGTGGTGGTGGTGGTGGTGGTGGTGGTGGCGGCGGTGGTGGTGGCGCACGCCTTTAATCCCAGCACTCAGGAGGCAGAGCCAGGTGGATCTTTGTGAGTTCGAGGCCAGCCTGGCCTACAGAGCGAGATCCAGGACAGGCACCAAAACTACACAGAGAAACCCTGTCTCAAAAAAAAAAAAAAAAAATTCATAATATGGGGTTAAAGATGTAGCCACCAGTTGGTAAATCGCTTCCCTGACACGCACAAGGCCCTGGGTTCGAGTGCCAGCACAGCATAAATCCAGGCATGTATGATGTGTATAGATGAGGACAAGCATTGCCACAGCAGGTGAGAAGATGGCCCATCAGAAACTTCTGGAAATCAGTCCTTTCCTTCCACTGTGGGTTCTGGAGATCAAACTCACGTCATCCATCCTGCTTGGCTGGACCCTCTCTCCAGCCTGATTTAGTTACTAACTTAATCACAATGTTGTGCATTGATCCTCCAAAACATAGACACCTTATGTTGAAAGTGTGTGTAGTCTTTGACCCAGATCTCCCTCCTTCTCTCCCAGCTCCTGGTACCCAATATTCTATCCTCTGTTTCTATGAGTTTGACTTCTTGAGAGTCCACATAAAAGTGACATCCCTTGGTATTTGTCTTTCTGAGTCTGGTTTATTTCCCTCTCCTCCCCTAACCCGTTCCCCAAGACAGGGTTTCTCTGTGTAGCCCTGGCTGTCCTGGAATTCACTCTACAGACTAGGCTGGCCTTCAATTCAGAAATCCACCTGCCTCTTTCCCCTGAGGGCTGGGACTAAAGGCATGGGCCCCAACCACCTGCTTATTTTCACTCATCTTAACGTCCTTCACGTTCACCCATGTTGTAGACATCAGGATTTCTTTTTTCTTTGTTTCACTGCTGGGAATCGAACTTATGATCTCACACTATTTCCCGGTCTCTTTTTTTCTTTATTTTGAGGCAGTCTCTAGAAGTTGCCCTGGCTGGCCTGGTGCTCACCATCCTCCTGCCTCAGCCTCATCTCTACTCGAGGTTTGCCATCACAGTCTGGCTGTTAGGCCATGAGCAGGAGAATCACTGTTTTTAGCTATGGAGCTTGCCTTTCTTCCTCACGCTTACAGCCAAACACTGTGGTACAGACCCTATTCCAGTTCTAAGAAACTGTTCAGTGCAGAAGTCCCCTGAGGTCTGGACCAGCGTATGGCCTCCAGCCTCCGGGTGGCCGCAGTCTACAGTGTTGGCCCATCCATGTGTCACCAGGGAAAGGAACACAGGTCTGGAAGAAGAGTGGCGCTATCTATGAAGGGGACTGGAAGTTTGGGAAGCGAGATGGCTATGGCACCCTCAGCCGTCCTGACCCAGAGACTGGAAAGTACAGGAGGGTGTACTCGGGCTGGTGGAAAGGCGATAAGAAGTCGGTGAGTGTTTCCCAGCATGCCTTGTTTGTAGACTAGGCTCAGAGCCAAGCTCTGTGTGTGTGTGTGTGTGTGTGTGTGTGTGTGTGTGTGTGTGTGTAGGGAGAAGGTGGGAGGTGGACCCAGGGCCAGGAGGACCAGTGGTTTGGTGGGTGGGAGAAGGAAGGGGTGGGGAAATTGGATTGCTTCTCAAAACAAAACCAAGAAAACAGGAAGCAAGAGATGTGGGGGCCCCAGCGAGGAACCCTTTAAAAACTCTATGGCTACTAGGAGGCAGCAGTCAAGGGCTCCTCCACCCTCTTCCCCCTCATTTCCGGGCTTTCTTCTCCCGGGTACCCCATTCTGAGACTCCTGCTGTTGGTCTAAGTCAGATGGAAGGTTAGGAAGCAGGGTCTAACTGGGTTAGGTGAAGGCCGGCGCTCTCAGCATTCTGAATGGGAAGGCAGGAGGATAGTGAGTTGGAGGCCAGCCTGGGCTACATAGAGAGACCGTGACTGGAGAGGGAGGGGGTCGAAAACGGAGCAAGAGCAGGGTCCACGCCCTTGGCCATGGGGCAAGAGAGGAGGAAGCAGGTAGAAGCTAACCGGCGGGGAAGCCTCCATCCACAAATGTCCATACTCTGAAAACGTGGATGGATGTGAGCTGTGGAGCCTGATAATTATAACAGGGTTGCTATTGGGCAGTTACTCTACGAGGTACATGAACTGACTCTTGTAACAGCTTATCACCATTGGTATTCCGTTTTACTAATTAAGGGACAAGTTTAGCCAAGTTTCAGAGCCCAAGATTTCATGTTCTTTGCTCCTAGTGGGAAGACTGAGCTTAAACGCTTTGCATTTTTTTTTGTGGTTTCCCTGGGGTTGGGAGATCGCGTCATTTAGCCTAGACAGGAGTTCATACCCAAAGAAGCAGGGAGCTAGCCAGGTAGATGTGTCAAAAGGGTAAGAAGAAATAACAAAGATGTCCAGCAGCAGGTCTTGTCTGCCCTGGGAAGGGAAGAGAATAGTGAAGTGGCATTGAGATTTTTGAGCGACAGACTTAGGCTACTTAACCCAGGCACCCTGAGTGTGATCTCCAACCGGCCCCGATTTCCTGCGGTTGGTCTTCAAATGTCACATTTATGTTTCATAAGTAGACAGCTGAGGAGGTCACTGAATATTGCAATCCGAGGTGGATGGGTGATCCTATGGACTATAAAATATCCTCCTGGTGGCTGTATGGAGGGTGTATGTGGAAGTGGGGCCAGAGACAAGGGGACTACAGCAGAGAGAAAAACCGATGCAGGCTGTAGGAAGGCAGTGCACGGGATGGATCGAAACCCGCAGCTAGAATTCTTTCACCTCTGCTTGAATGACTGGCTACGTGTAGGAGGACGCTCAGGTGTGAGACTTGGGTAACCCGGCAAATGGTGGGACATCTTCCTGCTTTCAGGGCTATGGGATCCAGTTTTTCGGATCCAAGGACTATTACGAGGGTGAGTGGTGTGGCAACCAGCGCAGCGGGTGGGGACGCATGTACTACCCCGATGGCAACATCTACGAGGGCCAGTGGCAGAACGACAAGCCTGAAGGGGAGGGCATGTTGCGGCTGAGTGAGTGCCCCGCCCCCATGAAACCACGCCCCCAACGCCTCTCGGCCCCGCCCCGTCCCGGAAAGAGCTCGCCCCAGACTCCCTGCCCCACCAGCCAAGTCCCGGACTTAAAACTCGAGTCTTGTTGGCCCTGAAAAAGTGATAGTCCAACTTACAATGAGATCCAACTAAGCTGAGGCCCTGGGCTGGGTCAGCTGGGAGGGCTTCGGCGGTCAGTCTGTCTTGTCGGCCCTAGACTCCTTAGCAAAGCCTGCCTTCAGGGAGGTTCCACAGCAAAAGTTCTAGGCGCTTCATTTCTCACGGCTGGACTCTGGGCAAGCCTGCATGAATTCAGATCCTGGCGTGAGCCGGTGCTAGCTCTGGAACGAACCCTGGGCCATTTATTGAACTGGGATTCAGTTTCCTTAGGGTTAACATTTTGCGATTAAGATTTTTATAAATGGGAGGGGCCTGTGAGATGGCTCAGTGAGTTAGGGCACCTCCACAGGGACCTGACCGAGCCTGATCCTGGATCCCACAAGGTGAGAGAACCCCGTTCCCCAGGGCTGCCTCTCACCTCTGCCTGTGTGTTACAAATGCACCATGATGCGCAAGTGCCTGCACTTTACACAGACACACTCAAGGAAATAAAAATGGGAGGTGAGCATGGTCCCTAACACCTGGGATCAGCAGCATTGCTTCGCCTTGGAGGCCAGCCTGTGCTAGCCAGGTGGCAAAAGGCTGTCTAAAAAGATAAAACTTGCGTGGTTTTCATCACGGGAGGCAGAGGCAGGTGGAGCTCCGAATTCCTAGTTTACATATGGAGTTCCAGGCCAAGGCTTGGGGGTGTAGAGCACTTACCTAGCATGGTCAAAGCCCCTCGCGCTGCCGAACAAAACAAAACAAAATAAAAGCAACAACAAAAACCACAGATCGGAGCTTAGAGCCATAGCCCCAGAGGCAGAGGACGTGCCGAGTGTGCGCATGCGCCAGGTGCTGTCTCCAACAACAACAATAAAAAGATAAATCTCTTGAAGTGATTGAGGTTAGACGCCGTTGATGATGGTGTCGAGCTGGACACTACACCCACTGTCTAGTGCCTAATGACTATCACGTCCCTGTCAGCAGCTAGGACCGGTGTGGCCCCGCCTGATAGTCCTGGCTGCTTCCCTGCACCCAGCACCCACGCTTTCCTGTCCTTTCTCTAGAGAATGGGAACCGGTATGAGGGCAGCTGGGAGAGAGGCATGAAGAACGGGCACGGGCGTTTCTTTCACCTGGACCGTGGGCAGCTATTTGAAGGCTTCTGGGTGGACGACGTGGCCAAGTGTGGCACCATGATCGACTTTGGCCGCGATGAGGCCCCGAAGCCCACCCAGTTCCCCATCCCTAAGGTGGGTGGTCCTGAAGCCAGAGAGACAAAAAAAAAAAAAAAAAAAAAAAAAAAAAAACAGCCTCCGCAGCCCTACACGTCCAGGGACTATAGATGAGGTTTTGTTTCCAAGCAGAGCATCCCTAGCAAGGTCTCCTGGGGCCTTCCATGCTCCTTCAACCGACTGACCAATCCCCTCCCCCTGCTGCCATCCAGGTAGAGGTTCAAGACCCGGATGGTGTGCTGAGGGAAGCGATAGCTGCTCTGATGAGCCCAGAGGAAGAAGATACCTGATGCCGGGTGAGAAGACATCTTTTCTGCCACCTCTGAGGAGGCCCAGGCAGCCCTGGGTCCCTGAACAATGCTGGTATCACTTCCTCCTCCTCCTCCTCTTTGAAACGCATGTTCCTAGAAGAGCAAGTGCCCTCCAGGCCTGCCCAGATCTCCTGAGTTGTTGCGATCTCAGCCTCCTGAGGTGGGCACTGAGCTGAAGTCAGGGGGTCTGTCCCTTTTCAAGACTCTTAAGTAAGGCTGGGGGCCCTCGGCCCGTACGGACGCAGCTCTTTATGGGGCCTTGTCTGGGGTGATTGTGAGGCTTCAGGGAGAGGGTGTCTGTGTTTCCAATACTAGTTCCAGTGCCGTTGCAGATGCCTGTAGAGAGAGCGAGCGAGTGAGCTCATCAAGGCTCAGGAGATGCTCCAGCCCTTGTCACCAAACTGCTCAGACCGGTGCAGCTCCTGCAGGAGGAGCAAGCCGCGACTCTGGGCGGCTCCCTCAGTAGGCACCCACTCCTCCAGACACTAGGGCATTCTTTGCCAATGGAGGTGGGGTATTGCTAATCCCTGGCTGGCCTTGGGGACCCACTCGTTTCCAGCCTTTGCCCTATGATCTTATAGCAGAGTGCATGAAAATAAAGAACCACCTAGTGGCCTTGCTCCAAGGACCTACGGCTTGAGCAGGGGTGGGGGGAACCTGAGGGAGGAGGAGAGAGGCAGCCTGACCCCAAACTGTGTGGGTCCCCCGGACACACTGTGTGTGTGTGTGTGTGTGTGTGTGTGTGTGTGTGTGTGTGTGTGTGAGTTGAGGATTTGAGGCAGTGGAGCAAGAAAGTGGCTTCAGATCTGCCACGTCTAAGCTAGCCCAGAGAGGAGGAGAATGAGGCTGCTCTCTGCCACACTGGTCACCAAGATTGGAGATTAAAGCAGGTCCCCACCTCCCTAGCCTAACGCAGGAATCTCGAGGATTAAAAGCCAGGAGTACGCAGGATACTTGTGGTAGCCCGTGCCCTACATACACATACTTGGAAGCAGAGGCAGGTGCATCTCTGAGTTTGAGGTTAGCCTGGGCTACACACTCAGTAGGGGCAGCATTGTGAAACAGTAGTTTAAAACCACCTAGGAGTCTTGCTCTCGCCCGGCTCCTTGGGGACATTTGGTTCTGCTTGGAGACGCTCCTGGTTGTCATGGTGGACAGAGAAGAATGCTACTGGAATCCGGGAGCAGGGATGTTGCTAAACATACTATGCTTTTTTTGTTTGCTTTTTCTTTTTCTTTTTTTTTCCCTTTTTTAAACTTTTATTTTATTTTACAATACTATTCCGTTCTACATAACAGCCACAGATTCCCTTGTTCTCTCCCTTCCTGCCCCCCTCCCCTTCCCCCCAGCCCACCCCCCTTGTTTGTTTTTTCAAGACAGGGTTTCTCTGTGTAACAGCCCTGGCTGTCCTGGAACTCACTCTGTAGATCACTCGAACTCATAGAGATCTCCGTGCCTCTGCCTCCTGAGTGTTGGGATTAAAGGTGTTCACCACCACTGCCTGGCTTTATTTTGTCTTTT